CTGTTCTTATTGGCCGGAAATTTCTATTCTGACTGGTTGATGATCCGAAAAAGACCAAGGTGAGACAAAAGACGACGAAGTGATCCCACACTAAATCACAATATCTCTGAGAAATGATAGATCCACATAGTAGCCCCATCACATGATAAATCACACGATTCGTGAGGAAGGATGATATACTATTTTATGCTAAGTACTAAAAAGCAAAGGGGAGGTAAAAACGTAATAATGGCGCCATTAGTACAATTCTTGCAATGGATATGTTTTGCTTACTTGTCATCCGCCTATGCCTATCGTGTTTTGATTAGATATTTTATGTTTCTGTCCATTTATGTCTAGAGCTTCAGCCATTTGTAGGTGAAGAAAACGTGAGCTTTTTGGTGACTGAATTCGGCCGTGTAAATAACTTTAAGGATATATCGCGTGGGGTGGAATAACCTGACTCTAGGTGCTGACCAATGGAATATTCCGTCATCATATCCTCGCCTGTTATCAACCAATCTTCTCGTTTCTGAAGTACACTTTAATAACGTCCAGTGTAACCAGCTCAACAGAAGGATGTGAAAGAGAAGATGGACATAGAGTGTGAACAAGCGGTAGTTTACCCTGGACGTATTGTCAAATTGTACCTTGGCTGGAGAATGCTCTCTCGGCAACATAAAAATATCGATTGGTGAACTTGGATAGACGACTTTTAATCACTTCTGCAATAGTGTCATCATTGAATACCGAACTCCTTAACAGTATATTCTTTGGCTCATGACCGAGTTAGGAGCAGTTGGTTCCAATAAGCCTTCTAGAATACTCATCACTTAAGAGTGTTACGTGATGGTCCCTCGATCGCTTATCGAATGCATCAGTAGAGAAAAAATCTTCCGGACTCTTAAACACAGAGAATGGATGAAGTCTCTCGTCCTACCCAGAGGTACCTAGCTGTTGAATTTAATGTACCGAACTGTAAACCGCATTTTCCCATACCATTCTCTCTCCTATCCTGTAAAACATCTAGGAATTAATATGTGGAATTAAAAGAAATATATGATATCAAGTGTTACTCCTAGGGTTTTTATTGGTAAAGTACTCATCCCAGTCAGACCTTCTCTAGATCGCTAGTAGGAATTCCCAGTTAGCACTTCTATAGTCCCTATATCGAAAGCAAACTGGGGAATTTCGAGGGGTGTGTCTAGTTTTCAGTTGAAGAGGTAGAGTTCAGTACATCATGTTGTGATCACTGTTGTCGAGTTTGTTCCCCACCTCCATCGAAATTGGCTCTATTTTGTGACAGAGGATTAAATCGAGAATATTGTCATGTCGTGCTGGGAGGCGTACGCCCTGCTTCCATCCTCCTACATCTTTAGCTTCTAGGAGCTCGTCATGGGTTCTAGGTTCAGCGCAGGTATCCCAGTTCACTCCTGGGAGGTTGAAATCGCCACAAACTAGTTTGTAATCGAATCCAAGGGTAGGTATTTGCCTTAGTGTTTCTCCGATAACCGTATCAGTCGTATCTGTATATACATCCCATGGAAATTTTATTATCATTCAAGTGGATGCTTATCCACTCTTCTTCGATAATCGAAGACATAGACACATGACAGCTAATAGATACTAAATAGTAAAATGTATACTCATGTGTTCAAAGATGTGAAATCACTTGCTAATCTTCGATAATATTCTGTCGAATTAGAGGATCGTAAGTGTTAATAAGGAAGTGCAGTTGCACGGAGTGTTCAGTGGAATAGTAGAATGTAGCAGAAAGTTGGCCATACAAAACAGTAAACTGAATTATATAAAGGTATTTATTGTTGATATTAAACACAATGATAACCAATATGTTTGTAATAATTGACCAGCACCGAAAAAAGTATCCATTTTGTAAACAGTGAATATTAAGGGTAACTTTAAGAAATAATGCACCCATTCAGGTACATCATAAAACAGTCATAGATCTATCTGCATAAAATCTTATAAAAAGTGAAATAACCTCCTATGATAAACTGACAAATCGTCAAATAATTATCTGACAACCCTCGACACTAAATTAAATTTCTTGTTTCTGTGAAATTTGTAAAAACAATTTACTCCCTACAGGTATGTCGAATTCTTGTGACAAGAAAGTCAATAAAATTGATTTCAATCTGCTAGTATTATAAAGAATAAGAGACTGGGTGAAGGCAGATTTTATGTTTATCTGCACAAAATGCGATAGATATCGAGAAAACGATAAATCTCGCCTTGATTTCACTATGTGCAAATAAAACCATGTATTCTGGACTAAATTTGGTCTGTTTTTCGCTGGACTCAGATAGACCATATAGCCATAGGGTATCGTTGGCGAGGGTCAGTAGAAGACTGTCGCTCCTTCTGGAACACGTGCGTAGACTCTGACCACGCTCTGGTTCGCGCACGTTTATGCTTACGACTAAATGGGCATAAGAAATTGACGGCAGCGAAACTGTTACGTCCCCAACTAGATCGTGACACTGAGTCTTTATTTAAGGAAGAAATGGCGAAACTAGTTTCTGAGGTCGACAGCAGGACTTCCCCTGAGGTGGCCTGGCACAACGTACAGTTAGCCGTGGACACAGCTGTGAAAGCTGTCAATAAGCTAAAACCTAAAGTTAATAAAAGCCACTGGATCTCTACCGCCTCATCCGAACTGATTGACGCAAGAAGACTGATTCCAACGAGCTCCGATTACGATGAGGAGAGAAAGGTACTTAAACGAAGACTAACAAAAAGTCTTCGCAAGGACCGTGAACAGTGGTGGGCGACAAAAGCGAAAGAGATGGAAAAGGCTTCGGCGATTGGCAAACCAGACATCTATTCGGGCTTATCAGGGAAACGGGTGGCAGAAGGCAAATGATAAGTGAAACAATCTCGGAGAAAAATGGCACCATAATTAGCTCCCAGGATAGACGTCTGGAGCGCCGGAAAGAACACTATGAGGAGCAGTTTAGTTGGCCCACAGCCACACTTAACCTTCCGAACATCCAACACCTCCCTGAATGGGATATAAACACAGGTCCTCCATCCCTAACTGAGGTTACTAAAGCTGTCACTAGTCTGAAGCAAGGCAAAGCAGCGGGACCTGATGGATTGACTCCAGAGGTATTTAGGTACGGTGGAGACAGTTTACTGTCTGCGTTAAGTGAGGTTCTAGGCAGCGTCTGGGAATCAGAGGAAGTCCCATCGGGTTGGTGTAAGTCACTGATCATCCCGATATACAAGAACGGAGACAAGTCTTCTTGTGATAATCACAGATTAGCTTGACTAATATAGTATCTAAAATCCTAGGCTCAATAATACTGCGTAGACTAAGCGGTGCTCGGGAGGCACAAACACGAGAAAACCAGGCAGGTTTTAGGCCAGGAAGAGGGTGTATTGATCATATCTTCACCCTTCGACAGATTCTGGAACATAGGCATTCCTACCGGCATCCGACAATCACCGTATTTCTTGACCTAAAGGCGGCATTCGATTCAGTCGACCGAGAGGTTCTCTGGCGATGCTTGGCTGTAAAGGGAATGCCAAGAAAATACATTGCACTGATTAAGGCACTCTACTTGTACTCATGCAGCCAGGTGAGGGCTTATGGCGAGTTGTCATATTAAGTGGTGACGACTAGTGGCGTCCGTCAAGGATGCCCATTATCCCCATTCCTATTCAACTTCATCATACATGTACTAATGGACTTAACCCTAACACACTTCAGCGACTCAGGGATTGACTTGCTACCAGGGAATAATCTCGCCAACTTAGGATATGCGGACGATATAGTCCTTCTAGGCGAGGACGCTGACAAAATGCAGAGTTTACTGAATACCTTGAGCAACAATCTTCGTATGTTTGGCATGCGATTCGCCCCTGTAAACTGTAAGATGATGCTGCAGGATTGGACTTCACCGACCCCCAGATTAGAAATAGGAAGTGAAGTGTTAGAGCACGTTGACCGCTTCACTTACTTGGGAAGTACCATCAGCCCCAACGGGTTGATCTCCGACGAAGTCTCAGCACGAATACAGAGGGCTAGGTTCGCATATGCCGGTTTACGCCGTCTCTGGCATAGACGCGATATCCGACTATCGACCAAAGGGCGTGTGTACTGCTCATCAGTCCTCCTTTATGACTGTGAGACCTGGCCATTGAGAGCAGAAGACATGAAAAGATTATCTGTGTTCGATCATAGGTGTCTGCGTTCTATCTCCCGTGTGAAGTGGCATAATAAGGTGAGCAATATTGAGGTTAGGCGTCCGTCGAGTGCTAGGTTAGGAGGGAGAGAAAATCAATAGACGAGGCTGTGAAATTACATCGATTGAGATGGTTAGGACATGTATTACGTATGCCTAGTCATCGCCTTCCTCGACGGTCAATGTTAGCTGATATAGGGCCAGGCTGGAAAAGAGCTAGCGGTGGTCAAACGAAAACATGGCACCAGTCAATGAAATCTACAACAGTTAGTCTAAGCCACGTAGGAAGATGTAGACTTCCTGGTTGGGGTCCTCGGGACGGTAAAAACCAATAGCTGGAGACAATTGGTGACGGCTCAAAATCGTTCTCAGTGGCGCAGATGCATCCACTCCTTGTGACTTATGATTTCCGTTACTACTATTCCTTTGTCTCACACCTCTGTTTACTGACTATATTATGCATTTCTTCTACTTTCTTCTCTTGCTTTGTGTGCTACATGGAGTGTGGCGACTTGAACCGCCGCACATATGTGCAAAGTTCTGTGTCGAAAACCAACCGACCGTTTTTCGCTGTCTGCTGCTTATTAGGTTCCTCTCAGAGTTGTAACCATCCTGTCACATTTCTTCTTCATCGACTTTTCAACTAGCACATATATATTCGTTGTGTTCACGCATACGCCACTTATATTTGCTTACAAGTAACATTCTACAATGTAACCGCAAAGCATACTCATTAGAAGTCTTTCTACTGTGTTCACGCTAGAAGTATGCTAGTAAACAGGCGTACAGTAAAAACAAAGTCTTCTCGTTTTTCTCAAGATTTTCTTTTCTGGTATTGAATTTTACATATTTAGTCGATAACTGATATAGAGCCCCTAAACATTGTTGGTATTTTCTATGAATTATTCTAACTATTAATTAAATACATAGCTTTGACATAAAGTTAAGAGAAAAACATTCTTTTTGCTGACCTATATGCTTTTTTAATTCACGTTATATGAAGATTTTTTACACAGGTTATGCAACTCTAGCGAAAACTTCACTGTTCAACATCTTATGCCTATATAATGATGCAAATTTCTACTGTCAAGTTAACGAAAAACTAATGAAAATACTCCAATTTTTCTAACTCATATCTAATTGAGATTCTTGTTACTTTCAGGTCCACATAATGAGAAAGAGTTACGTAAAACTAGCGATGTATCTTATAGCATGAAAGGTTGATCAGTTAAATGATCACAATGAAAAAAATATACGTGAGAAACAAAGAATACATATAGGTATAGGTGTGCAGAGTCGTGATATCTCATATATTGTAATAGTTCACACTGAATAACAGTTTTATCATACTATATATATGATAAAATAAAGTACCGCCAAACTTTGCAGTTCACAAGCAACATGAAGGGGATGTAAAGACTAAGATGATCTAAATGATAGTATAGTGGGAGAACGCTTATCAGAAAATAGATCGAAGGAGAAACTGTGAGTTAAAGCAATAGATCTTCTTGAATATCCTGTTCATTTAGCTTAATGACAGAGCATTTTTCAGATAATGAGAGATCTCCATCAGATGCATAGCTTTGTTCCCAGCAGCAGCTGCAGCACTAGGTTGTCGACCAGCATACCTAAAAGGAGGTAACATATCAAAAAGGTACAATATTACAAAAAGATTTGAGAAAGAGAAACACTAAAGCAAAATTAAAGAAAAAAATGCAAGCCTATCATATTACCACCAAATTCACCAATTTAATAAAAAGTGATACCATTATTTCACAAGTCAAACAAAACGTAACAGTGTCAGGAATATATAAGTGATACGCATGTGAAAACGTTCACATATGAAACACAGATCAGTGTAACAGCTGGCATTAGGGGACAGAGATTTGAAAGTTATAAAAGTAGAACCTGCGACAGCAATGCATAAGTAACGCGATACAAGCAATTAACGTTACTGAATATGTTGCCTCAGAATATGAAGACAATTTTACGAAATAATTTCTAAATCATTAAACGTTACTTTAAAACTCTGTTGCCTGGATAGATCATTTCATATACTAGACTATGAGCCACATTTTTGTGAGCGCTAAATAAAACTATCCAGTTACCCATGCTGGGTATTTTGAACCCATTAACCACTGGTCAGAAGTAGAATGCCATACTCAATGACCCAGGTCCCTACATTAAGAAAAACAACTTACGAAACCACGAACTACATGTAACCATCATACAAAACATCTTTATTGCTTTGCCCCCTATATCATTGTTACCAATGATTTCTTTCGTTTTGCCTTCTAAATTGCTTCTATTTATTGATAAAAAAGCGTCTATTGATTCTCTCACATGAACAAACTGATAAACAGGATGGAAATCATTACGACCTATCGACCTTCGAATGTAATCGCCCAGACAAAGACATAAAAATCATTTTATCAAACGTACACAGGGACTGTGTAACTGACAGACTATTCGCTAAAGCATAGTGTTAACTGATAAAGCCCATTTTCAATAATGATGAACAGAGGGCAAGCAGTGATACTGTATAATTACCGCACTAAGATGATAGTAATTATTTTTTTCAAATTATGGCTCTGTAAATCAATGAACTATGATCCAAAAACGTTCAAGAGATGATTTTTAAGGGTGATTAGGACCACTAGGGTAGTTAAAAATCTGATATACATGAGACATATCAAAGTGTATGTGAACGAATGATCTTAAACTAAATTCTTCCAAATGCCAGACTTATATTCAGTTTTAGATGTAAAAGAAGGTTAAACGACGCTGTTGATTCATATGACCGCTGTAAAATTGATGATATTGTTTTTGGAATCAAGTCTGTGGTTACTCTTATTTATATTTTGAGTAAATTAGATGCAATACTGTGAGAAATGCTGACAATTCCATGTTGTATTATAAGTACGGCTTTTGGAATAAAGTAGATCATTATTATTTTATGTAGAACAACAGAGACTTTTTAAATATGTCTATTACAGTACAGATTGAAACCACATTTAGAACATTGGACGGCATTATTTAGACACACCACAAACCGAAAAAACAAAAGAAATACGGATAAATCTATTTAAAAAATGAATAAATTAAACCACTTTTGTAGTATCCATAAGTAAAAATTAATTACACGAGGTTACGACTTCTAAAAATATACAAATCACTTTAGTTGACACTTCAAAACTTACAAAATACGATTATGATGACGGTTCGGCATAGTCCTGTATATGAGATGATTTACTCTCGGTTGTACATAGGTCCATGCTCCCATATTTTTATGCTCCTCCTGCACCCACTGTACAATAGCATCTGGATAACGTTCCAAATCTTGCTGAATCAAATCATACGGGAATGGTGTCAGTTGTTCAATTCTGCTGATAGCTATTTCGGACTCTCGATTAATGGACCTGCGCTCTTTATCTAACTCATAGTAGATCTAAGCAAGAAAAGCAGGAATTAATGTTGTAACACTGTTCTTGGACAACTGAGTATATAAAATTTAAGACTGCAAATACGAGTGTTTAAAAGCATTTGTTTAGAGAAGAGAAAGAAGTAATGAATAATCATAAAATCCGGGGATTCAGCAAATGTCCTGAGACTTTACAAAATAACATGATACTAAGAAATCAGTTCGCATCAAAGTCGGAGTTTGAGTCCAGGATGAAGTAGGTGTATTCTGCTAGGCATCATCTATTAGGGAAATGAAAATTTTTTCAGATAATTTCCTTACTACTATTAAGAATACCAATTGAAGAATGGTCTTTTTCAGGTGATAAACGATAGATTTATGAAGAAAAGTACTTTTCTAAAACAATTTACAACCAATAAGATCTGTGCCAAACACGTTGGCATAAATCGATATTGTGAAAGCGTCAATTTCTATTTTCTACACTATCACGAAGCACATAATCTCGCATTCTCGATATCTGACATAGTAGTTACACCATAATGTCATAGTTTTGTCAAACTGTGAAAAAAGGATAGAAAATTGGTAGCATAATCACAGTTTAAAATCTTACTGCTAGCATAGCATTCTTGACACCATTCGGAGACATAGGATTTCAGATAATGCACTTCACATTTTTGTTGCAAACAAATAACACAAAAAGAATTGTAGTTTGGGAATCATCGTAAAAACAAAACTAATCCTTACAAACCAACTATAGAAAATAAATCTGATACTCGCTAGTGACTTGCTACAGGACGGAGTTTCCTGGAGTTCTAGAGAGATGTCGTGACCATTCAGTCAAGTGTGAGGATGGATGGATGTCCCACTGATGACATTGGTTGGTGGTCGCGCTAAATCACGAATTGGTAGAAGTTACAATTCATGCACTGGCCATTGAATCGGGTCCCAGTGGCTGAATGGTATAAGGGCTTGCCTTGTAACTGGAAGGTGCTGGGCTCGAACCCCAGCGGGTGCGTATTGCCGATGATTCCCAAACTAGGATGAGACAGATGTGCAGTACTCCCTGGTTTTCAATGGTTCTCTAACTGATATCAATCCGTGATCAACTCGTAAAAACAAAACTAATTCTTACAAACCAACTGTAGAAAACAAAAAGAATCAGCAAAAACAATTTAAAATCTTGAGCCTTATTAAATTTTATTACTTTACACGGAGGTATTCTAGCTGCAGCGGGTTATGTAGATAACTCAGCAGGTTATTTTATAAACAGCTGCATAAACACGTGATATAACAGCAGCAAGAATGAGTATCGAGAAATTGCTCTTAATTTGACACCCATCGTAAACTACAGCTGCGCACGGACGTGTACGATAAAGATGATCGTCGTTAAGGAGCAGCTAATGCAGAAGTATTGATATGTTACATAACATTTCGATCATTTTCTCTCCGATAGTGTCCTTTCAATCCACAACACATTAGCTAAACGAGTTCATCAATACTATTAAGCAGCTAGATGCTAATATTCATACCATGAAATTCTGATTGTTTCAGGTGGAACTGAAAGAAAAACACTGGTGGATATAAAATAAGTATGTATTATGTAATCTGAAGGTATTTGAAATCAGCATCTTCGGCATCTTGTAAAAATGAAATATCTAACATAATTTCTGACATTATTCCTTCTTTCTTCCCAATGAATTGCATATCCAACAAACAGTGATACAATTTACGTGCTCTTATTAAGACGCATTTTTGTACCAAAATGATGGGCGACAGATGACACTAATGGTTTATTATTAGATGTTTCTCATCATCTTTCAGAAAAATGATGCTTTTCATTCTCCATAGAGCGTCTAGTAATTCTTTGGTTCGTTTTATAAATTTTTTATACAAAAAAATCATCACTTGTACTCATGATTATTTAGACGATTTCCGGCTAAAGCAGTACAACAATACATTACTTTTGTGCAATGTTACTTCCCAAAAATCATATATGTTTAATTGCAGAAACGTGCTAAGTGTTAAAGAATATAGCAAGTCTTATATTAATAATGAGTAATAAGCAGATACATCCTCCTCCTAATAGTTTGCATATTATACAAACTATTATGCTTTACTTATGCGTATAAAATTTATACTAACCTGTTAGTCGAAAGAATTCCCTTCAATAACGATACAAACAGAAGAATATCTCTTTTTTGCTCAGAATAAATTCAGTTGACAGAATGTGAGTCAACTGGCTTAAAATTCTCTTCTCAAGAGCAGTTTTTTATACTGTAAGTAAAATTTAGCGCCCAATATCACTAAATACATGAAAGCTTGTAAATGAACAATATCAACTTCAAATCGATGAGATAGATTTTTGCCTATGTCTTCATTGTTTTTCCCCATCGATCATGTGTTCGCTAGCTATAGGAGTATGCAGATTAAGGAGTTATACAGTCATCAACGGGAATTTCCTGTCTAAGAGCGAAAACTCGCTTGATTTAACCTTTCATTTTGTTAAAGACTGTAGTGAAAAGCTACCCAAAACCTGATGTTTATATCAACAACAAACTAGTTCGCGAATCTAACTATGATGCAATCATATGGTGAATGTGAATGATAGATAATTCTTAACTTCATGAAAAGTAATCCAAATTGCAATACAAAGGCGTATTTGATTTTATTTTAAACACAGCTACGACGTAAATTAACTTCATGGGAGTTGAAGCAAGGAGCAACTTCAAAGTACAACCTATACACACTGTAATATGAAACCGAACCTTTGGTCTAATGTACCATCATAATATTTATCCTATGTAACAAAATTATACATGGTCACTTAATACTTTAACTGATGACAACAGGGTATTTCTACTTCTTAAACTCGGATCAGCAATAATGCAAAAGCAGTATGGGAGACCAACAATGAACTTGACGGCAACTCTTCTAAGACACTTATTCCATTTGTGGGAAAACCAAATTGGAGCTCAACATTAAAATTACATGAAGCTAAAACAAGAATAGGAATCAACCACAAACAAAGACCAATAATACGGATTAAATCAAAAGGTGTGTGCAAGCTGGAACGATAATACACAGGTCAATAAAAGGGAGATAGTAATTACACAATGAAGTGAAATATTCAAATAAGCATAAAAATTGTATATTAATTGTTTCGGAGGGATTTTCCAACCATCTGTTTTCCTACAATGATTACCTTGACGCTGTTTATTAATGTTCCACTTCACTGTTCGGTGATAGTGAACTGTTGGTGATAACGTGCTGTTTTACGAATACAACTTTATTTGGATGGAATCATGGTTACGCCATGGGAAATATTTGACCACCTTGGACTGTCAGTGGGAAACGTGCTTAGTGTGTTGATTCTTGCCAACGGAGTCTCGATCCGAACTTACTGAGAATATTCTATTTGATTCTCAGTACCTACTTCGTACCTGAGGAACTCTTGAACTGTAACGATCAAAACCCAAGTATTTTGATCTGAATGCAGGGAACCCAATGAAGAGTTCTTCTGTATACCTGATTAAACTTCCGTAAGTAACTAACAGTCCCAAAAATGTCTCTGTAGCGAATTCTCTTTTTACTCAAACTTCTCGTCACACACCACAAAAATGAAAGCTTCTCCCCAAGGTTTATCGTCTGTGTACGAATTGAAAACAAATTCTGAACAGCAGTTTGGGTACTTCTTGAATCACTATAATCCAAATTTAGAATGTCATCCGAAATTCGTCATCGGTATTAAATAAAACGCGACACGGAAAACATCCCCAGGATTTTTTAGCATTGATCAGTTTATGAGACCACTTATGTCAAACACCAAAACATCGTGACAAAAAGCCAGATCGTCTTCAAATGCATTGTGTGATGTTTATTGCTATGCATATATATATATATATATATATATATATATATATATATATGAAAATGAATAGTGAATACTTATGTGTAATCAATGTAACAGAACTCACTTTGCCACTGCAAATGATTAGTTTTTTAACACTCTCCGGTTTTTGAGAGGCTGGACCACTATCAGGGATGTAGCGTTTAAACTCTGAGCCTGGGAGCATATCACTAAATGGTGATTTTGCTTCTGGGTGACGTAACAGCGACTTCGGAGTGAAGACAATCAACTGAATTAAGATAACAGAATCTAATATAAGAGGTGCAAAAAGTAAGATAAGCATGTACAAAAAATATCGGTAAACCAACCATATCCGAAACCCACTGTACTACGAATTTAGGAGTCTCTATCAGACAGCTATTTATTTAAACAAAAAGTGACTTCTCAGGTGGGTCGGTTTTCGACATAGAACTTTGCACATATGTGCGGTAGTTCAAGTCGCCACACTCCATGTAGCACACAAAGGAAGAGAAGAAAGTAGGAGAAATGCATAATATAGATAGTAAACAGAGGTGTGAGACTTCCCAACAAGTCAGTGAGTAGGAGAATACAGAAAGCCATACCACAGAGTAACAATTGAGTGAAGAGGAATACACCAACCCTATTAATATTTTGATAATTTAGTCCGAATCCTATTTCTTAATATAAACTACATATACACCACAATGTTGCATTGATTTTGTGTATATAAACTATGTTAAAGGAGTGAACACCTAGAATAATAGACATGTAGTTCATTAACCATATGACAGTTAACTTATAACAAGTTGCAGGAAATTTACTCAAAATGATTCAAATCTGATTTCCCATAAAAGATACCAAAGAAGCACGATCTCTTATTCTAACCTTAGTAAACAATGATCATGAATGTAATTACACAAAATTACTGACGTCCTATTGTCTTAAAAAGGCTAAATAATTCTTTCTAACAGTCAAACATGTCAGCATTACATACATACTTGCACTGATAGCAGTGATATATGAAATATCACTTTTGAAGACTTCTTTATTTAAACACTGAAGCACTTGACTATAGGCTACTTTAAAAAATGGAAGGCTCACGTTACTCATGTGGTAAAAACTGTCAATACCTTTAAAAACAATGAGTCGTGCAATTTGAATCTAACAGATCACTTACAGGTTTGCGGAAAGGCAGTAGAATTTGACGTCTTAAAATATGGAAGAAATTCGCTGGCGTAGTACAGTTTGCAATGATCCAATTTGTTTCATGCAATTGTTGCATAATGAAGCTGTCGCTATAAACCTTAAATAAAATCCATTTATGCAAATATGAAATACAAAGATATAAAAACAATTTTTATTTATTTAATCAAATCATATATGACGTGATATGAACTCATGAAATATTAAATCATCAGTCGAGACTTTAGTGTTCTTCAAGCATGGCACTATTAAGAATAAGAGCTGATATTTTGAGTGCACTGTTTTAGTAAGAAATTGTTAATAAGCACGCACACGTAAATCCACGTTTATTTGTAAAACAGACTTTTTTTAAAGACATCGGGTGATACGAAATATGTAATTATCAAGATATATGTGGGTCGATCTTTGGCTAGTTTTTAATACTGTAAAAGTACAGGATAATTAAAAAACAGAAGACAATTAGAAAATAGCTAAATTAAACGTATGAGTTCTTTGAAATTTTGTTACTGTAGCAAGCTTTGCATTGTAGTGTATGAACATCAGTCAAATAAGCTGCATTTACGAATAGTTTTGCCAAACTTGTAAGGATGACATAGCATGGTGATAACCAAGTTGTGAAATGTAGGATGCTAAAGGATGAATCTCGACAGAGGACTCAGTGATAGTATTTGGTTGCAAATCAATTAAATGATCAGAGCCGAAAGTTTTCAGATGTGAAAAATTAGGGATAACGTCTCAATATGCTAGCGATTCTGAAAACCCTCACATATTATTCTATTTCGAGTATCCTGTGATAAAACAAATGTTCTGAGTAAATTTCAAAAAACGATACACATACATGAATAAAAAGTTTTAAATTCCTCATTATTTGACACAATATTTTGATACGAATAATTGAGGAAAGCACCAGCTTTTGTAAACAACTATGATTTAGTTAATCACAATATGAAGATGAAAACTGGTGCAGACTTAGGAGGAATTATACACTTTGTTAGTGAGAAAAGTGGAATTCATGAGAGCAGAATAATACAAAAAAATATATAAACTTTGATTCTGAAAAATGAATACCGACACATTTTAATAACATAAGGTGACACAATACAGACTATCAATAATCTCACTGATTAGCTTTATAGCAAGGATTTTCAACTCAACAGTAGAATATAATGTGTGTCAGCGTGTGAATGGGGGCAAGTATTAGCACAAAATAAAACATGACTAAAGCAAAACAGATGCTAAATGTCCCAAAAACACCCAGTTAAATAGCACAAAGTTTTTTTAGGATGCTAAATCAAAAGTGCATTCACGTATCATAATACTTCCAACACATTTATGTCAGCTTTTAGTAAATAAACAAAAGATGAGAAAACATGAATACCCTGATCACTTTTCATGAAATAACAATTAAAGTTTACTTATTTAGTATTCTTAGATGTCAAGCTTTCACGAAGTTGGCAATAAAATATTATTAGTTTTTTGTGGACAAGAGAGAGACAGAGGGCAAGAGATGTAAAAGTGAATATAAGTATAAAACAGTGTCTTACTAGTTAGAAAAAAGGCTTCACTACAGTAAGATTTAAAAAGTGAGCAGTCTAATAGACAGTGCACTGAAACTAACTTACTTTTGACGCCGACTAAACAAGACCATTTATGCAGCAGTGAAAAAGAAGAATAACAATAACAATAATACATAACGAACAACTAAGCAGTGGAAACAAAAAAGCAACTTTCAGTTAATTACATCAGCTTTAGGCGATTCATTTTTGCACTGAAAACAATGAGACGATGGTTTTGTAGTCGACACAGATCGTTTAAACAGCTAATATAACATTGATAAGAAAGCAATGATACTGTTTAAGGATTCGGTTACAACATGATCTAAATAAACTGATCAAAGAAATATACACACACTTGATTGAAATCAACAGATGTCAGTACTAAGAGTGTATGATAACCTGGCAAGAGGCAAAGTTGAAGTATTGTATAAGTGCAAGCATAATATTTACTGAGTAGTTTAATAACCAACACCAGTTACATAAAAGAGAAACAACAGAAGTAAAAACAATCGAAACTAAGAATTGATATTATCACTACAACGTACAATACTAGCAAATAATTACTTAAACTAGGCAATACTATTCGTACAAGTTATTTTTCGTACAATCCTTAGTAACACTGACATCATCATTATCTTCGCTAAATTCTAGGTACAGTTTAGGATACAAAAAAGAGAAAATGCATTTAAACAAACGATAAAATATACTTACAGGTACATGGTTTTCATCATCATTAGACATCAGAAGGAATCGTTCAATACGTGCACTAGAATGTTCAGGACCCATACCTTCATAGCCATGTGGAAGCAAGAGAACGATTCCTGACTGGCGTACCCACTTTTGTTGTCCAGACGAAATAAATTGGTCGATAATACATTGAGCAGTGTTATTGAAATCGCCAAACTGGGCTTCCCACAAAACAAGAGAGTTGGGGTTCGTAAGCGAGTAACCCAATTCGAAACCCATTACCGCATATTCAGATAAACTGGAATTGCACACAGTAAATGGTGCTTGGGAAGGATACAGATGATTTAATGGAACATATGTTTTTTTATCCACTTCCTATAAAAGATGACAGTATAGCACAAAGTAATAGATAGTCAACCTTGATATTTAATATACAGGTTTAGGTCACATGAATATTTATTATTCTTTAAAAATTGATGGAGATATACAATAAGATTGATCAGTGTGTTCAAACCAAGATTTCTCTACTTTATTTCGTTGATCCAGACGAGTCACTTATCCAACAAATTTGGCTATAAATTGCCTAGTGACTTCAAACCTTGTTTGAACTCATTTACCCAAATCACGATACCTTTAGCCCGCGTTCGATGGAAACGCCACGTTGACAAAGTAAAATTACAAACTTTGAAAGACAGAATTAGTTGAATCATGTGTTATGCATGTCTACCATGTGTCTACGTCAACGTAATGTGTTCGTGAAATTAGAAGGGGAGAGTAGTGCTAATCTATGAAATCACTGAGCGCTGAATAAGGCAGTGCAAGGAAATGCATATATACATACAGGCGTGTTTAGCAAACGATCTGTATTGCGAAGAACTCTCATTTTTTCGACGAGCTTGCCTTGTAACCGAAGGATCCTGGGTTCGAACTCCCAGTGGGTGCGTACTGATGAGAAGACCCAAACTAGGACGTGGCAACTGTTTAGTGCTCTCTCGTTTTCCACAGTTTCTCCAATTGATGTAAGCTCTTGATCAAAAGCCGTAACCAATAAAATCCCTGCAAATCAACACTTCCAAGTAGTGTTCAACACATACCACGAAAGAACTTGTGCGACAAAACTACGGAAGCAAGAGCGAACAAAAAAATCACTTGCTTTTACAACGATAAAAAATGTTTCACCTGATCGTGTAAAACACAATGCCGATGTGAAAATGTTCCACGTTCAACATCTTGACCAGATAGTCTGACGTGAAAACCTTCCTTTAACAGTGATCCATAAGCAAAAAGTTCACCCAAAGCCCAATTTGCCATCTTTTGTTCAAGTAAATCTTTGCGTTCCTTGAGTGTCCGTTTTAAACCAGAATGAATTACCATGCCTTCGGGGGATTCGCTAATTGCACGACCTAAAAATAATAATCATATTATGGAAAAAATAGTTTAGAGAAGTGTAAGCAACAAATTAAATTTCCCTCTGAAATTTTGACATGTATAATGTAACTTCTTTGTATCAATTTTTTAAATGAGTAACATCTTAGTGGCACAGGAAATCAATCAAACTTGGCCGCGTACACACACGGTGTACTATTTCATGGCGTTTACAAGCATAATGGTGATAAACAGAGTTGAAAGTGAAATAAAAAGTGTAAGTTGATATTGTTCTATTCACGTTTTACAATCACGCATACACGAAAATATTGTGGAAATTATTCAACTATTTTCAAGTTTGTTTCTTTCGGTTAGATTACTGAGAACAGTAAACTCTACAAACAGGAATAAATATAAGCAACTTCCAGCAATGATATACAAAAGCTTTCCACCAAGCAGTGTGAACATTTAGAGAAATCCAGTCCATCTGTTGAAAGACTAAATGGAAGTCTACTGCATACAGGCACTAGAAGCAAACTGAGTTATAATATTTTAGTTGGCTAAAGATATCCATTAAAAATTTTTCGGTAATCGAATAGTTTTGTTTAAATATCTTACCGATATGTTCTAAGACATCGCTTTCTACTCCCGTATCCGGTAATTGCATCGGATCTTTATTTTCAAAGAAGTTGTGCCATGGAGAATCAATCCAAGCTCGATTATATGTAACCGTTTGTTTTTTCGCTAATTCGTATGCATCTTCACATATCTGATCGTACTTAGCTATTTCGTCCTGAAATCACATTGGAACACAAAAGTGTAGACCTTAAAATATATACATGGCAAATAAAAGCATCAAAAACTGTAGAATGTTTACCGAATTTCGATGACAGAATTCTAAGCTTGGTGTTTTTGAAGCTGGTGATATAAGAGACAGTATATTTTTTCTGATTTCCAAAGCATTCTCAGCAAGTTAAATATGCCGATTTACATTACTATCAGAGAACAATTATGTATCAGTATTCGCAAGGAGATAAGACTGTTTTTAGTCCAACCGCTATTCAAACGATATTTTAGCATGGTAGGACCTACAAGAACATCAATTCTAGTCAGTGTAGCTTGTTGGGTCATTGCCATAAGCATGATAACAGCTATTGGTTCGGAGTTATGTAAATAATAAGTATTCTGAAATCAATTTACTTTTTCACCATGCCAGCCACTCTAGAACATACACACATTAACACTGATCTTAGAATATTTCAGCAAACCACTGATCTTCAGATTACATCTTATTTGATGAATTACAGCAAGTTAGTCAAAGGATAATCATATTTGACTGTAATAACAATGAGTATCCCTACTTAATGCACAAAAAGTCTACAAGGTAAACAACAAACTCTTAAAACATTTGAACATTTTTCTTAGTCATTACCTTGTACTCTTGTTCAGTGACAATTCCTTCACTGATGAGTTTCTTACTATACTTTTCCAATACAGTGGGTTGTTCACGAATACGCTTATACATGAGTGGTTGAGTAAACATTGGTTCATCCATTTCATTATGACCAGAACGACGGTAACAAACTAGATCAATTACAACATCTTTACCAAACTCAGAACGCCACTCTGCTGCAACCCGTGCAACATGCATAACTGATTCTGGATCATCAGCATTAGCATGAAGAATGAGTGAATTTGTAACGCGTGCCACATCAGTACAATACGGTGAAGAGCGAGCCATACGAGGATCAGTAGTAAAGCCAATCTGCGATAAAAAGACAGGTATAATTGCAAAACATTTAAGCTAGAAGTATAAATTATTATTATATATTATTGTTTCCTTTAATTCCTAGAGGAACATAGGGCTTCAGCCGTGCGTCTCCATTGCGTTCGGTTCTCTGCTAGAGTCTTCACCTGGCTCCAAGTCTGTCCACACGTCTTCATCTCCTCTTCACATGACCTCCTCCAAGTCACCCTTGCACTGACCACCAACTCGCCGCTTCCCTTTCGGGTTCCACTCAAGCAATGGCTTGTCTAGTGATGTCACTTGATGGTTTCCTCAGAGTATGGCCAATCCAATTCGCCTTCATTTCTTCCTGCCTATTTGTTTCACAATCGGTTCCTGGTTGGTTCGCTCCCAGAGATCTCTGTTGCTTATCTTTTCTGGCCATCTGATCTCGAGTATTGAGCGAAGACAACTGTTAATGAAGGTCTGTAGTTTGTTTGAGATGCTCTTTATGACACGCCAAGTCTCTGATCCGTATAGTATAGTATAGAAGTATTAATAATGATTGACAAATTAAACTTAATGTTTGCTGAATCTTCTCATGAATGCACTAACGACCAATAAAATTTAACGTTTTCGAATAATCACAAGATTAAACTTCTTACTGGACAATCATTTAGACAGATAAAAGTAAGACAATGTTAATCATTCTCAAATGCATCTGTGAGTTTTAAGAAATACTAAGGATATTTGGAAAAAAACACGTAAACACTAATTAGGAAAGAAAAAGAACTAATCAGTCGATGTTCATTCCTTACAACAATTAAAAAGCAGATTAAATTTGACATCTAGTAGGTTTCGTTTAACTACAGATTCCAAGCCATCGCTCGATACTGAAGATCAAATGGCCGGAAAGAATAAGCAACAAGGGGATCTGATGGGCAGCGAATCATCCAAAAATCTATTACCCAACAAAACATGCAGAAGGAAATATGCATTAGGCTTATGGTGAGGAGACCTCCATACCACGCCGTCAAGTAGAACCCGAATGAAGATCAACGCATTGGGTGTTTGAAGATGACACGGAGAAGGATAATATGAAGAAAAAAATGAAAGCTTGTGAGTATAAGAGTAGAACTTGTGCACTGTGGTAGAGTGTAATCCCATTATAGGTAAATTTTGTTTTGATAAAGTCTCACAGTGTTATACAGTAATGTTTACTGATGACGTTTCGAGCACAAATTATTGCTCATAATCATATCAAGGTAATCACACGACTTCCTAAATTCATTTGTATAGTTCCGTTGTTTTTCACTTGATCTGATTGGTAGTAGTATTTTCCATATTTCGGGTATGAGTGATGAATCATTCCTATTGCATGTGTTGGGTGTAGATTCGATGAACCAGGATTCAGTAATCAATCTCTCTCTCCACCTACCTAGATTACTTTTTAGAATTTTAAACCTCTCCCACCCTATTGTGTAGTTGTGTGCTAATGCATGCATTGCAACTGCTAAGCTTTTTTCTCAATTACTTACCTTCTCGGGGTCAACCATTCTTACCTTAGCTAAATTCTTATGTTCTGACAATCTGACTACCCTTGACCTACTAGTGTGACCTATGCAGTTGACCTCACAGTCATTGCAGGGTATTTTGTAAATTATATTTTGTCTAATTGGGTCAAATGGGTCCTTTAGCCTATAACACTGTGTGACTTTATGAAAACAAAATTTACCCATAATGGAAGCTTCCGGGTAGTTGTGGAACCAGTTGGGAGTGATGGTAGAGAAACGAGTGGAATGGAGATGTGTCACTGAAGCCGAATGATACACTCGAAATGCAAGGCATCAATAATAACTGGAGCTCTTAATGTTCAATTTAATTAGCAGCTGATTTGTCTTTAAATCAATAGACCTTCGTTCATGTACTCTAACAACACGGATACACAAAAAAGTAACTATTAAACCTGAAATCAAAATGTTAAAAGTGAACTTAAAGCCTGTTACTGGTAGAACATACGTGTCTCCTCATAATGATTTAATTGGATATAGTGTCATTTGGGTATTCTCCAAAAACTAACAACTGATAAGATTATAATGATGAATATATTTTATATGACGTCTTAAACGTTTATGCATGCCCACTAAATTCATCCAAATTCACAACGCAATAGTGATCAAAATATTATGCTGAATACCCGAAATTAGCCTACGGGAGCGGATTTTTCGTCCGTTGGATATACGTTTGGTGTCGATAATCAGTTTAGTAAGTGGTAGGACATTTAATACAATCAAAAGATGTAAAAGGGAATGTTTATAACTTCCTAACTATCAGTTATAGTGACAAGTATTTTCAGTACTTTTTCGTATATTACGCGGGGATAAAAATTCCTATGTAACTTTCAGAGTGGATAAGGCTTGATGATTCAGTGATATTCTGCTTATCTATCTGCGCATTACAGCATAAACCATAGGTGCCATTTTAAGGTTAATGACGCTGCCTGTTTGTTCTAATCTTGCTAGGTGACATGGGCTTTGAACTCGCGATCAGTTGGTTAAAAATCAAGTCCCTAAACCAATGGATTATACTCAATATTTGGAGATTTTTTAGCCTGAGTTAGGTGAGATGAGATCCTAACCAACATATGAAGGAATGTGATTGCTGATTTAAGTATGTATAACCTGCAGCGCCTACAACCTGTCGCATTTGTATTTGAAATAAAGAAACATACAATAAGTGTACTAAAGAGTGATAATTCATTACTTCAAAATAATTTTTAGTATATCACTTGAAGATATTTCAAGTTTTGCACCCCACAAAAACAATTATACGTTTCAAAATAACCAAAAATTCCCATTAGGACATTACTTCGCTTAATCCCTTTGTCTTCTAATTATACATTTTTATAGAGTCGACTACTTCCGTTGATAAAATCGATTGTATGAATACCTGCCTACATAGTAGGTAGTTGCAATGTACACACCCAAAAGAAGCAATTTGACAAAATATGAATAAAAATTAAATTGAATAAATTCAAGGTGGTTTTCGGGATAAATCTACTAATTATTTAAAACTATTTTTAATGTGAAAAATAAGATGATGTAAAGAATGAGCGTAAAATATTGTTTCGCATATGAACTTCTATTCAGTATAGAACTTTCGTATACTACTTACCTTGACCTACATACATGTATTTAAAACGAATAAATAGTAGAAATCTGTATTCCACGTTAGCAAAGTGAAAGAAGTTGTGGAAGGAATGTGAAGTATATTGACTTTTTAAAGTCATGATTGTGTGTACTACAGATGTGGCTAGTTGGTAAGTGAATTTCCTCTATTTTTGTAATAGATGAAGATATCTTCGTGACAGTGAAAAGATGAATATGAGTTTATGCGCCGGTTACTTTATTCAAACTTGACCGATAGCCTTAGATGTGACTGATTGGCTAGAGAACTCGACTTTTGGCCAGTTAGTTTGAATTCCATATCGCCTACTTCAGCTTTGAAAACTGTGTCGTATCATCAGCTCTACCACAATAAGTGTGGCTCATAGCCTGGGACGTGAAAAACGTGTTCTGAGTAACTGACTTCAAACAACATTCAACAGTCAAAGCACAAGATATCCAAAATAAAAACCGGCTTTAATTCGTATATGACATTGTGAAGGACTCTGATTCATGAAGAACCTCCAACTATTGGTTGCCTGTATTTCGTCAGTGAGATTTGCATCATATCGCTTAAGAGATTCTACATACCGTGGAACTTTATAAAGGACAGAATGACTTAAAATTGTTTTGAAAGATGAGAATAGTTACTGATAAAGTCAGCATCCATTCTCGTTTTGCGCAGAGTCAGTTACACTTCGGGCATTTCTTTGGGATATTTTAACTTCGTGCCCATAGTAATGGGTGTGATAATGGATAGAAACATACTGTCAAGGCGATGACAAAGCGAAGTTCCGGAATCAAGGTTGGTGAGATCACATGAGCAAATTTAAATGGGAAGTAGCTAAACCCTCTGAAACCTATGTACCAAAATTGTGTTTAATGGCGTCGGCATACGGTGTAGTCGGTGACGGTGTCGAAGGTGTTACTCAACTGGATCCCCATTATCAGTCGTGTATGTGCTGTGGGAATGGAAGGTTAGGCCAGAGTAGGAAGCGATGAGCCAGAAAGGTAATGCCCACTATTGATCTTTGCCTATGCACCAACAGGTTCCAACCCGAATGCAATTAAGGATAAGTTTTACTATCAACTGAGCGAGCTTTTGATGCACGTGTGTCAGAGAGATATTGTAGTGCTGGCTGGGTACTTGGATGCACAGGCTGGGTGACTAGGCTCAGAGAAGACTTTCGGCGAAGAGTTACTCTTTTCGGCAATATCATTCTCAAGCTGTACAATCGTATATACATAGTTAACTTTCTTAGAAACAAAATGAATATTTCAAAGATTTGTCATTAGAATTTTAAATTTTAGATAACGAAGTTCGTTAATTGGTTAGAAGCTAAAGTAAGATTAGATAAGCAAGTTGAGTGACGTATTCTAACTGACGGGGTTGAGCAGAGCTCAGAAATGACTTGTCTATATGGTCAGTGTGGTTTACACGGTCGTAGGTCAGATAATAGGGACCGTCTTCTGCAGCTTTCCGCAAATCACAACCTGTTTCTAGACAGCCCCAACTTCCACCACAGAGCTGCCAGGTGTCCGTCCTTGGCCAATCAAACCTGGACTCTGATCACATTGCTATGCGTAAAGTACTACCGCTCCTTTTGGAGCACATGACTGAACTCCAATCATGCTCTAGTGTGTGAGAAGTTCATCTCGCAATTTGAGTGTTCATAAACAGTGTCTTCTACAGGTTGATGCAAGTAAACTGGTAACACCGGTTACTTCTGCAAAATATCGAACAGAGTTAAAAATAAGGACAGCTAGCAACCCTCTAAAAAGCATTGATGAAAGTTGGCTAAAAGACGTTATGAAAATGGCAAGTAAATCCGCGTATGCCTTAAATCAGTGCTTTGCTAAAAACCATTGGGTTTCGGCCAGTTCCTTGTAACTCCTAGACTCCCATTAGATAAGCTTTGTTAACCAGTACAAACAAGCGAGAAATTGAAATCTGAAGTTTCCTGAATGGGCACGATATCCAGAATCAGTACTTAATTCATGATTCCTATTTATCATTATTGAAATTATTGTAGTTCTCGATGATGGAAACTTGGTCACAAATGGCTGCACGTAACAACAGTTTCCAATTATCGTTTAGTCATTCGTAATACACTAATCAGAAACGAAGTTACAACGTAATGGCATAACAGTGCTGATGAAAGTATAGTCTATAGTGCAGTCTAAAAATAGTGAAGAATAAGATATAATCATGATTTCATAGCATATGACCACAAAGTCATATCTGGCTGTTTATAAATTCGAACTACTAAGCATTGGTTTTATCAAGTTTTCATTTCACAGACGACTTACCTGATTATTCACAACTATGTGGATCGAACCCTTGGTAGTATAAGAAGGCAGATCACTTAGATGGAAGGTTTCATAAACAACACCTTGACCACTGAATGCGGCATCACCATGTATTAAGATGGACATAACTTTCTTCCCATCCGTATCACCTCTGGAGTATAGGAAAACAGTACATTCGAAGTTATAAAAAATCTGTCTTATAAACCATACAAACTTCTAATACAGAAATATAGTGAGTGACACAACCGTTAGTTAAGAAATAGGTTTCACGTATCATACTGCTACTTTTCGTGTAAGTGTATATTTACTTGATTCCTGTAAGAAAATTGAAATGTTGTTTGCAAAATGTAAAAATTTGCTAACGTGACTCCCTACTGCAAATCTAATCAATGTTTGAGGTACGCTAACAGAGTTTTAAGTTTTTTTAAAATTTTTTTTATTCCTTCACGTTCCCCAGTGGACTTTAAGGCTTCAAGCTAGTGGCTTGAAGTTTCTGTAGCAGTGTTTATTTTACAGGATGGGGTTACTAGCCTCATGTCCAACCTCCCCTCTTCACCAGCATTATTTCCGGCTCAGTGAGGTAAAGGAGTGCGTCGGCCGGGAATCGAACCCCGGACCATGTGCATGGTCGGCGAGCGTCCTAACCGCTATGCCACCGACGCACGAGTTTCAAGTTAATGACAATAAATGACCATCAAATATCACACACGCAGAATCCGGCAATCTCGTTAGGCAAAGAGGTGTTTATAAAAACAATCAACTAGAACTAAAATTATTGAAAATAAAGGCTGCCAGACATATTCTTAAGATATGTTATGATGATACTGATTCAAGTTGTTAGAAAATCTTACCGATAGAATTGTTCAGCTTTAGTTTTACCCTGAGCAACAGGACAAACTGCTTCCAAGTGACTTGGATTTGCACATACGGCAAGGTTAATCATTTTACCAGTCATATGATTCAAACGTTGATGGCTCATGCCAAGATGATACTTTACATCACCACTACCTTCATCACACGCTTCTAATTTAGAATCAAATTGACAAAATATATCGTCCAAGGGCTTGCGACAAACATTAGCCAGAACGTTCAATCTTCCACTGAAAATACAAAGTTTGTAATAGACTAAAAATCAGTCGAAAAAGGTATTATCGGTTAGCACTACTGAACAAAACACTCATAAAAATGAATAAGATGCAGTGCGCAGTGAAGTAATATAATGAGCGACGGAACCCATTTTACAGAAGAATGAAAGGACACATTAACATGAGTATTGATGACTACACAATCTAATCCTTAAACAGTCGATTGCAGATTCCAGCAACAGGAATCTCATCTAAAAAGGTGTACTTGAAACAACAGGCTAACTATAAGCATTTCAAAATTAGTAAAACAAGCTTCGATAGAAATGATTAGTTGAATATTTTGCATGTAAGACAATTCAGTTTCAGAATATATACACATGAGCCAATTGATGGAACTAATTTAGGAAAATAACACATTTTACAGCAAATTATTCGTCTGACTTTTCTATCGCATTCTTCATGCAAATATATTACAACAGTGGATTTGTTGATTAATGTTACTTTTAAGTATCATGACCTAAATACGTGGTGGTAAATATTATTAAATAATCCTGAGAAATGTTACTACTTAAGGAGACTTAAAGAAGTCAGAAATAAGATTTTGACATTTTCGCATATAAGATCGAGGAGTGAAATGGTTAAGCGTATTATTCACTTTACAGACTGCTGACAGAATCTCCACTCATATACAAAAGGTTGCTCTGACACTAACCAACTTGCGTCATTCCTAGCCTAGACATGATATCTGGCAGTCGATCAAATGACATGTGCTGTGCAGCTGCTTGCTGTGTCCTACTTCACTCGTCAAGCTGTGTCGACTGAGATGACAGTGACACGTGTTACGCATACCAAGCCATTGCATTCTTAATTAAGCAATTTAGACCGGCATACGACTAGCTCGGAAAAAAGTTAAGTGGTCAAATCAGTCCATTTAGCCTTTGACCGTTGGTTTGTGCTACGTAGAGATGTAGGCTGTATCGTCGGGGACCCGACAAATTAGAAGCAATGGCTGAAGACTGTTGGTGACATGGCCAAAAATCATTCGCAACGGCGGAGAGGTATTCTTTCTTTGTGACCACCAGATGCACTATATTTTAATTATTCTCAAAGCAATTAATTTTTCTCTAGTACTCTTTCATTTAATATGGTTTCCTTGGATTCCTTCTCTTACTCTACCTTCAGGTGTGCTTTTAAGGGATGTGGTAACTTGAACTGCTGCACTTTTGTGTAAAAATGAATAATGTAAATTCAGTTTTTTCACTCCACATGAACTTGAAAGAACGTAACCTGCGGAAAGATTTATTATTTATCCCATAGTGACCTACTAAGCAATTTAAGGAACATAAATTGTTGAAAAATCTCACAAAACAAAAAGTGCAAACCAACAAACCGATGAGGTATCCCAATAACGAAACTTTCAACACCAAGGGCAGATGAAGAGTCGATAACAGCTTTCATCGCTGGAATTAATACTTCACATCCTTCAAGTCCAAAACGTTTTTCCGAACTCCATTTTTTCGCTAAAAACGATTCGAACCTTGTTGAGCGAATAAGGCGGGCTAGTATCAAGCGTTTCTCTTCTGGAGTAAAGCTGAGTGAACCAGGTGTTTCAAATTTTCGTCTTATCCAATCACATTTGTTCAAGCTGTTGATAAACATATACTCAATACCAATGTGCTTGCAGTAAACATCCTGAAACCATTAAAGATATACAGTGAAAAGATCTTAACCTAAGAACACAAAGACAACTATATGCACTAACATTGACTAGTATTACACATATTTCAGTTTCTATGGTCATAAATTTAGTCTGTCTCAGTGAAGGTTGACATGTAATCAACACGCTTATACTGCTTAGTCATTAAAACACGAATGACAATAGAGAAAGGTCAAAGACTGGAGTTTTAAATGCTGCAGATTCTACCAAAGAGTAATTAGTTCGGAAAACTGTTGTTTGAATACTTGCAGCAAGCTCCACAAAAATCAACCCTTGTAACGCAACAAGAGACTGTCATCATCCACATAACTGAAAATAAAACGTACCCAGACATTAATTGATGACGTTTCGAGCACAAATTATTGCTTACAATCATATAAAGGTACTCACACAACTTTTTGCTTCATTTATATACATGAGTAAAAATCGATTTGACATTCGAATAAAATCAACATAATATAGTGTACATTCAGAAGCAGTATTAGTGTTATCAATCAATCTGGCATGGTAGGACCTACAGGAACTTAAGTTCCAGCCAGTGTAGCTCGTTGGGTCATTGCGATATGCAAGCCCGACCACCACGTCAAGGTAGCAGCTTTCGGTCGGGATCAATCAAATCAAATACAATCAGATGGGAAGTAAGACTTTTTTACAGTAAAAATCAGCAACTTGTTAGAATGTTGTAGTGTGAATTGAATATATTTTAACATTATTTTTCATCCTCTGATTTGACTGGTAATATCTTCCATATCTCTGGTATTCGCTTTGAGTCATTTCTGTTGCATGTGTTGGGTGTAGATTCGATGAACCAGGATTCAGTAATCAATCTCTCTCTCCATCTACCTAGATTACTTTTTAGAATTTTAACCCTCTCCCACCCGATTGTGTGCTAATGCATGCAGTGCTATAGCTCAGCTGATCCCACGAAGACAAGTAATTTAGAAAAAAAACTCAGCACAGAAGTTTAATTATTTGAATCATAATTCCGAATTAAAAACTACTTACTGAAACTTGAAATAGCGGGGTAGTAAAATAAACACTAGTACAATAGGTGTGCCTCGTTAATTGAGTATGAACATTCATAAGGTTGTCTAATCACACTATTTACTTATAACCATTTACATTATATGAGATACATTCTGAAGAGACTTGCTCCTCATTTGTGTCGCGCATAGAACCATTTCAAAACAGCCAAATGAAATCGCTTTTGTATTTTAAGCCCAAGATACATCACTGAAAACTTGAAGAATGTGAACGAAAATCAGCACATAGTCTCGACAAGAATTTTTAAAGTTCTTATTAAAGCATACTTACCTCTAAACGTTTGATTATTTCACGCAGAGTAAGTTCTTGTTTGTCGCCTCCAATGTGGGTGGTAGGTGGCAGTCTAAATGTCTTATCCAAGTCAGGCTCTCCTGCACACCAAAAAAATAAAAACAATTATAGTAACCAACTATGGATTTAAACTGGAAGCCGGCAAATCCATACATGCCTACAACATGCATCTACAATAACACTTAGAGAGAGGTACAACAAACTGGCAGCTACAACACAGTTACAAGTCTCAAAGTAGCAACCAACATTTAAGCAAGACGGTATTTCAGAAATTCGTCTAATTTTCCCTCCGAACTAATATAATAAGACAGGAATGTCAAGACATGCGACTCAACCGCGAATGTATCCGTTAGGCTTGTTGCTGACAGTTGCGCGACTCTGAATTACGAAGCAGTAAATCAGTCAGCACCATGTGCTTGAATGTAGTCACTAGGCCTGACCCATGCTTCTCAAAAGTGGTCTGACTGTATACAAGGACTATTTGACTCACTGAATTACAAACATTCAATCTCATAGTCAAAAAAATACTACAAGCATCTTCAGGTAACAAATAGTATGCTGAAAAATAATCCATATGTTAACATCATTAACGAATTAACAGAAAACTGTGTAGACACAAGACAACTCCAAACGAAATCACAAATGAGAACTGAACAACGCTAACCTTCTAGATCAACAAAACTTACGTCTTTCACCTAGGAACCTTTGGTAGACAATATATCTGGCTATGCCGGGTTCTGGTGAAGTAATACCTAGTGGATCTAAATCCGCTGCAAGATGACCGCGCACCTGATACGTATATGAGACACGCAAAGAATGAAGACAAAAATCAAGGAACAATTTTAAAATTTGTAAGTAAAGAGTATTCCTATAACCAACCTACCAAGCTTGTAGAAGCCCAAAGATAACTCAGGGGGTATTGAGTCGTCCAAATCTGCAGATAATATCCCCAGTGGATCAAGTTTGGCGATCCGATGACCTAGAGACTGAATAACGCTTCAAATATTTTATCAAGCACTAACACAATTTACGACAATTATGACTTGCATTGCTAAAAAAATAATTAGACTCAATGAAATGGTAATTTTTAACAATGAAGAGCATGTGAATAACTAAATTTCAACATTCACCATACCAAGAACTGATCTGTTTGCTGAGCATTTATTTGTTAAATAAATACCTATGTTGAAAGTTATAAAGTTTACGAATTACACCGGTAACCTTTCAGGTCGTATTACCATCAATCCTGGAGTAAAACGAGGTAAAACGAATACACCCACCACGTTAAGTATACTTTTAGAGGTTTAAATAATCTACCATGTGTCGCTAAACGAACATGGTTGATATATGAGTAACAAAATTTATTGCAGTAAATATACGGATATTTAACTAACACTTTAATGATCCCCAGTGTATTTCTCAGCTGATAAAAAGTCAAGATGCCATAATATTCAACTCTAAAATGAAATTCTAATATGTTTAGTAACACTGTTGAACGAAATAAACTTATTTATCACACCTACAATGAACTGTGTACATTGAGAACCAATTGGTGTGTAAGGGAGTTCGTATGTCACCTAGTTTTTAGGTAACTATAATTATAGCATGTGCCTTAAACCGTCTAAGTGGAAGATACTTTTGCGAGATTGACACGAGCCTGTAACCGTAAATGGATGTCAAAAGTAGCTGAAAAGTTAGTGCACTTAGATAGCTAGACCTAAACAGGGTTTCTAGTCCTGTTTCATAACACGGAAAGTTGTGCACCAATTCGAGTTACAAGTATACAGATTTCGTTTGTCTCAATTTACTTTAACGACACATTGAAAATACTCATACAAAGTTAGTGGGTAAAACCTGGCAGTATAAAGGATTATGATTAGCATTCTGATAAAAACAGTCGACTACAAACACCTGCAATTCCCCCACAATTTTCGGCGTCATTATAGACAGCAATAAAATTGCATACAAATTGAGACCTACACAATCAATCTTTCTGTATTTGTGACAAGACTGTTTCAGTCAAATACCTAAGCAATCCTAATGTTAAAAAACGTAAACACGCATTACAGCCTTCCAACATTGATTACAAATGGATGCCTATCACTTCAGAAACGAAGGTTTGCTTCTAATAAGCACATCTATTTAAAATGTTTAGAATTTATTTCACCCGAAGTTTTGCCATGACATCGAAATAATTCATATTCTTGAAGACATATCCCACTGGTACAATGCTAAAGGAGATTTATTCATGAAAACCCGATTAACGAAGCAGAAGGATGACACTCACTCGAAAAAAGAAAAAAACGCTACAGAAATTTACAACATTGTGAGACTTTTAACTAACTTGATAAGATCGGATTATAGCCTGAACCGAAAGGTGATCCTCGATGGATTTCAAACTTAGACTCGTTGCCTGCCCAGCTACTTGTGAAGACAAATGAGCTAACTTCAGATCCTCTTTACCCAAAGTAGGTGGTTTGACGTACGCTTCTCCGGGAGCAGCTCCAGAAGCGACACATCTGAAATAAATATCCCAAGACTAATGGTCATGAATTGGTTTGGTAGAATACCTTATGAACACTATCAGGATTCTGTAACCAAGCTTCATATATGTCTTCGATGTAGTTGGATGAAGTCCCATTTAAAAACGGTTCCTTTGAAGTGGGATTCTGGCAACGTATTACTGAGGTATACAAGGATTTCCGAGCAACATGTTGTAGTTTGAGCACCTTCAAGGCGCGGGAAGCAAGCATATTACCGACTAGCGATAAAGACAAAATAAATGTAACAGGATAAAGATTTATAAGCGGCTTAGCAAGAGAATAAAATGCTCAATGTAAAACGGTTTTACGTTAATGAAAGGCTACGACTTACAGCACTTCGAAGAAGTGGCGGCGCAAATGTAAGATTCGCGTACACTAAATTAGTCATATTACTCAGGTGGATGGTGAGACAACTACCTAATGATTACAGACAACTACCTTTTATAATTATCAAAACTCGAGGAAAACATTTACCCAGCTGTTAATGCCTAACCTACAAAGAAGTCAATAAATCACCCGCAGGAAACTCCACATTAATGGACATCGAAGACACAAGTACACCTAACTACAATTTAGTTACTTCCAGTGGCCAGATTATAATCACACACCTTAAACGGGAAGGCCGTAAAAAAGGATTGTGTGCTCTGAATTTTGATGGACAATTTCCCAGATATAATTTAGACTGCACATGTAAATTGCAGTCGGAAATTATTCAACCACACTGAGTTTTACTACCTGTTTGTATTCTTGGTGAAACTGCCAGTGCGTAACTAATTACTTATTTATACTTACTTGGTTGCTAAGTGTACGAGTTTCAGGTAACCTTCATCAAAATACTGAGTAACTAACCCGAAATTGTAGAAAGTGTTCAAAGTTCAAAACTTAGTAATTTGTTTTATTACCCACATTTCCCTGGTAAGTAGTTGTCGATTCTCTTACTGGAAACCTTGGTAATTCAACCGAAGGCTTTTACAGAATACTGCACAACAGGATAAGAGAGATACACAATTTACAAAAACAACTCATCTTCTGTCACCTCGGTGAATACTTATACAGAAATTAGTTTAACTTAGCAGCTGATACTCATTATAACTGGGGGGTATTTTTAAGTCATCTCAGAGAATGATACCCTGTTTAATGTGTTTTCATGCATTTTCTTGTAAATAAACGTCATTTTTCATGCACATACTCCTCATTTTTATGACTGGTCGGTTCAAGGACGCTCGTGCGTTTGCATCCCTTGGGACGCTATTGTTGAACAATGCCACTTAGGGATTACCAGTCAGTTTCGACAGCAACTGTTAAGTGTCCTTCGATGACTTGAAATTTAAAGTACTTACTTTTAAACTGAATACAACAGAAAATAGTAACATATTCATCCCCGCCATAAAACAACTGGGAAAAGCCATGGTATTTCAATAAGTTTGCTCTGTAGATCTTAACTTGATGGTCACTGCAGGCATCCAGTCAGCAAGAACATCAGTTCCAATGCAAAAAGTTGGTTATAATGAGACATTTCTCTAGAGTAGACACGAAGTATGCCCCGAAATATATGCAATACAGCGAAAAATACTAAATGAAATAGGCTAATAAGGCATAACACATGAATGAAATGCGGGAGATATGTATATGATCACGTTTCAGTTATACCGATCGAACTTACGTGTCTTTATTGAATAGTAAGCAGATATCTGAAACCAGATCCCGAGGCCAGAAACTGTCACTTAAGGAAATACCTCGGAGCGAAACCCAACAATCAAAAAGAGCGCGACGAATACTCACTACAGGGTATTCAATGTCTCAATCACTCGCGATTTATTTGCTAGCCAAGTGAAATCCTTAAAAATAAGAATATGTTATGTGTTTAAAATTAAATATACGGCTATTGGTTATTTGTTAAAATAACATTTCACAAATACGTGAAGCAGTTGACGTAAATCCATTATATCCGTGCATTGTTTACGTGGATTGATTAGTCCGTTGACACTCGGTCGATCATTCCTATTTTCCAAAGGATTCCAGTATTAGGTCTGTTCGTTCGTGTCTAACCCTCTGTTGTCTAAGCCGGCAAATCGGTTAGGCAGAATTATTCTCAGTAGGGCAGACTGGTCCACTGTTTGTCTTTTCTGAGAGAAGAGAATCCAACTGGGTTAGGGGCTCACCGGCAGATGTCAAAGCGCCTGGGCTCCAGGAAATGCCTTATCATGGTGTTTACTCTGACCGCCTGGATGTTTAAACAGTGCAAAAAGCTTCGTCGCCAGTGGCTTCCATATCATCATTACTGGAGTCGACGTGAGATCCCAGCTATGCGTTATGATAGTCAGCAAAATCCACTCTATAACACTTCGACAGCTAGTATATAACAGGCAACAACCTTCAGTAGAATATTTCTCTATCCAGCTGTAGATGTATGCATGTCTACTCAGTTCAATAGGTATCTCGGTCATTAACACGAACATGTTCACAGATTATAGCTTATTGTGGATGCTTGTCAACGCTGAATAATAGATGGTAACGAAAAACTTTCACTCTTTGGACCTATTACTGAAGTAAGATTTTGGTTATGGATATAGGGATCAGATGTAGTGACTTATCAAACCTCGAGCGACTTCAGACACCCATCATCACAGATTTTACAAGTGAAGGTTGTTTCTGATGCCAATGGAAACATTGTAGTTGTTTCACTCAGCTGTTCACCGTCGTGGTTATGAGTTTCGCGGACGTGACATAGGAAAAGACTTCTTAGTTAATCACGCCAAGCGCTGCACTTATTGTGTCTCACTTACTGGGTTTTATCATAAAATTATGTTCGCGTTGTATGTACACTGGAGACAATTTACAGACTTAGACTTTTTGGCTTTGTATTCTACTTTTACGTAGAAGGAGAATCTTCCAAAGCGACAAGTGATCTGAATTAATGCACTACGTGGTGAAAGAAGTCAATACTCGGTTCGGGTATTCGGCGAGTCGCAACTATCATTCGAGCTCTAAGTTAACCTTACGGCACGTTGAACGTTTGTTATGTAAGTTCACAGTGAAACCAGCACAAATACGGAATACCACAGGAATCAGTTTTTCAAAAAACTAGACCATCGACTCACCTTGCAGAACCCTATGCTGAGGTGTAATCATTTCATTCACCAATAGAAGGGCGATATCTATGCCATCGGAGAAAAGGGGTGAGTGAGTCAATAGTACTAAAATGCTTTCGTATGTTTGCTTAGGCGTAAGTCTAACTATCGAATTGAGGGCAAATAAATAACTGCTACTGAAAAGGAATACACTGTTTTCCATCGACTACACAATAACACTGTCGCCATCAAGCACTGTGGGTTTGCTCAACCTATCACTGCTAGAGACTAGCAAGAAATCACTACAGTAAGACCCTGATACATGTTGGGGATAACATTTTAAATCCAAGTGAAAAACGGTCATGTTAACACAGCGAGGCTTCTGATCGTTTGTGCAGAGTCGTGTTCGGTGAGGATGTATGACTAATCTAATGTGAGTCGCCAAGCAGGCTAAGTTGTCTGAGGCAATCATACTTATGATCGGTTTATAAGTCTAATTTTTTCTTTAATGATAGTGAAGTGATTCATCTTCTAGGGCAGGCAGTTATAAAAAATTGAGTTCTTGTGACCAAAACTTTGTACTCATATGCAGTTTTCAAAAGACTTTCACCTCAAAGATGTGAGTGCTCAACATCTCTCAGTGAAAATACTGCATCTAACCAATGTATTGAAATCAGCCTTCTTGAAGACTAAATGTTGTTTTAGAAGACATGTTTCCGTAGCTTTCCACCAATGATTTTGAGGATGGGTGACTGGGATATCAGAAAAGATGATGATCAATGTGTTAAAATACGACGAATTTGTAGCTTCAATACTGTCACCTTCTGAGTTTGAAAACAGAGGCGGACTGTCTGTAAGTGTGGGCTGCCTACATGGAGAGTAATCCATGCAGCAGGTTAGACTTTGGTTGGTCTTAAATAACAAGTCATTATTTTAAAATCAAAACTTTCATTGTGCCGGCTCCAGAAACTCTCAAGTTGAGAAATCAGGAGCTGCTGTTGTTTGGCATAACCGATCACACTTCAACAAAGCAAAGCTGTAATTTCACTGAAAACGTCATAGTACCCATGCTAAGACCAATATCATGTCTACAAAAGATTTGCGCATGCCAAACGGGGCTTCTGTATCCGTTCTGAGATTTCGTCAGCAATCAACCCCTTGAAGCCGTTACAACCGCCCAAATAAGTGAATTGGTTAGCATGGTCTACCGCTTCACTCCCTATTTCTAAGCTAGGCGCAGTCGGTGTAGTCCAGTCCTGTGGCATCATCCTACATTTGACATCAGGGACGAATCGCATGCCGAACATTCGCGGATTGCAACTCAAGGTGTTAAGAAGATTGCATGTTTTCAGCGTCTTCACCTAGCAGGGAGGCCCATATCATCTGCATATTCTAAGTCAACGAGATTATTCTCTGGTAACAAGTCAGTCGCTGAAGTCAGCAGTTAGGGTTACGACCATTAGTCAATCTATGATCAAATTAAAGAGAAATGGGGATAGTGGGCATCCCTGTCGGACACCACTAGTTGTCACCAGTTCAGATGACAGCTCACTGTAAGCCCTTGCCTGGCTGACTGTATGAGTTCGAGTACAGTGCCTTGATCAGTGCGATGTATTTCCTTGGCATTCCCTTTACAGCCAAACAACGCCAGAGTACCTGTAGGTCGGTAGCATCGAATGTCGCCTTTAGGTCAAGAAATATTACGATTGTTGGACGCCGGTAAGTATGCGTATGTTCCGAAATCTGTCGCTTGGTTCTCTCGTGTTTGTTCCTCCCGTGAACCGCCTAGTCTGTGCATTATTATTGAGCATAGAACTATAGCTGCCATATTAGTCAAGCTAGTCTTCCTGTGATTATCAATGACTTACACCAGCCCGATGGTACTATCCCTGATTCCCAGACGCTGCCTAATACCTTAGTTAACGCCAACGGTATACTGTCTCCACCAATTTTAAACACATATAGAGTCATTCCATCTGGCCCCTCTACCCTACCGCTACTGAGTTATAGAACCTTTGTATCTGCACTGGGCTGAGACGCTTACAGCTGAGATGCTTTGAAACTAGAAGCCAGTGTAAGACGCTGATTTACTATGTGGAGAAGTATACGAATCGCAGCTGGTTACAGACATACATGACTGTCCTAAAAGACTGAGCGTAGGTGAAGAGAAGAATTAGGATAGGGACTCCATTTCCACTCTTCTATTGAATGGGAGCACGACAAGTCAAACTGAATACTTGACGAAGTCTACTGCTCTATCATGCTACTTCAGCAAATTATTCTCCGCAATGGGTGTGGAACCCATATTAGCTTCTTCGGAGGCTGATCTAGAGATGAAATTCAACCACATTAAGAAGAAAAATATCCTAAAATTGCTTCTTGCGCCCAGTCCTGGTAAGTTTGGTGATTTTGATGGACCCTGTCAATGAATATTACCTTCACTGAGTGTGACTATAACTGGGCCATGTTCGGTGCGCTTCGTCATATCATTGAGGTATTCGAAGACTTTGAGGGACTGGAAGGGATGATGATATCACAACTCCAGTTTTAAAAACAGGACTAGGGAATTCGGTTAAGAACTGCCATCCAGTCGGTCTAAATAACATTTTAGTCAGGCTGTTAGAGAGGATTATCCCTGAGGCTGTTATCAAGCACGTTGTTGGCATTAAACTTCTAGGCGAAGAATAGCGTAGCTACAGAGAGTCACTGTTTTGTCATAGAAAATTTGGGCAAATGCGAGTGATGCTGATAAAAGGATGGATGGTATGTTTTCAAACTTTGGTAAAGATTTGAATAAGGTTTCCCATCCATGTGGTCGCAGGTGCCACGCGAATAACTCTTGAGGATATGGACTCTCAGTCTTCACCCAAAGCGCAATAAAACTAAGCTTTTCAAAAGAAACTCTACCAGTTTCAAAACGTGACCAAATGGCCTCAAATGCAATTATATCGACGATCGAAAGTCAAAGAACTGCAAGATTGCCGTTCTATAAAACAAAGTGTATCAGACAAACATAACACAAACGTTCAAATCTGAGGTTGTTCGGCCTCGAAACATAAGGAGTACAATTGTTCGACTTAAAGTTAGTTCTCATTTCACAAAATATCAGTTCAAAAAAGGAATGTACAAGAGTCCAATGAAGCACAAACCGTTTACTAACACGAAATGCAAAATGGTATATAAAGGACGGCTTTAGTATTCAGAGGTGGAGTATTGGATCTGACACACGTTTCAAGGTGAGGTTACGTAATCTTAGGATTTTCTTAGGGATGGAAGTGGAGGGTCAATGGCGTCTTGCCACAATGGCAACTGGTGAAGAGTGGTGTGACTCAAGAATTAATTCCAGACCATTTTCTCCACTCATTTTATGGAAATTGGATGACGCTGAGGATTAAATCACCTCATCTCATGCTCACCTGTCGTAATAAATTCTGCTGGACTTTAGAAAGTTTTGGTGATTTATTTGCCTTACAAGAGGACGTTGATCTGTAGGTCAGATGGTTGACTGTGGGATTCTGAGAGTTAATAAAGGCAGGTGTGTATTATAGATGCAATTTATAACAACGTGTACTACTACTACTTAACAAATGGCTTTTCTGCATCCACGGCTGGTGAATATAAAGACTTCAGAGTAACTGCGAAACACATCCTAAAACACTCGCTTAGTTGTAATGCAGGGTCTACGAACGGACTTCCTATAAAGCCTGCGTAAGGTTGAATGCCAAAATCAG